TAGCCCTAACATTGCCCACTGATGCTGTGTCCATCTGTCTTGCCATCTCTACGGTAATGACCTGATAGGACAGGGTTGGGATTTACCACCTCTTTTCTTCAGCTCACGGTCAGTGTCTTATTGCCCTCCCTTTCTTCACTAGCCAGATGCCCCTGCTACTCAAGATGGGGTGGAAAGCCTCCTACAGAAGTTTGCAGCTCAGGAGTTGATTGAGGTAAAGCGAGGTCTCCTACAAGATGATGCACATCCTACTCTTGTGACCTATGCTGATCATTCTAAGCTCTCTGCCATGATGGGCGCTGTGGCAGAAAAGAAGGGCCCTGGGGAGGTAACAGGGACTATCACAGGGCAGAAGCGGCGTGCAGAACAGGACTCGACCACAGTAGCTGCCTTTGCTAGCTCTTTGGCCTCTGGTCTGACCTCTTCAGCATCAGAAGCAGTCAAGGAGCCAATGAAAAAATCAAGGAAACATGCTGCCTCAGATGTTGATCTGGAGATAGAAAGCCTTCTGAACCAACAGTCTACTAAGGAACAACAGAGCAAGAAGGTAGGGGCAGATGGAAATGTTTTCACACATATACTTTGAATTATGGCTTTGGTTGAGAGGAATTTACCGCTAGGGCAAGGAGCAATTCTTAGAATTGAAGGTTTAGAGCCGAGGTTCTCAACTGGGGATGATTTTGTCCTCCCTCTTCACAGAGGAGATGTGACAATGTCTGGAGACATTTTTGGTTGTCACAACACAGGGGAGTGCTAAATATCTAGAGGGTAAGAGGCAAGGGATGCTGCTAAACATCCAATAGCCATAGTAGGACAACTCCCACACAGCAAATAATTATCAAGCCCAAAATGTCAATAATGCCAATGTTGAGAAACTTTGATTTAGAGAATTTTTGTCATTGGATCTGTTTGGAAAAGTCATGAGATCAAGAGAAGAGGAATCTAGCCCTGGCCGGGTAGCTCAGTTGGTTAGAGCACTGTTCTGATATGCCAGGGTTTGAGATTTGATCCCCAGTCAGGGTACATAGAAGAATCATCTAACAAATGCATAAATAAATGGAACAACAAATTGAGATTTTTCTCTCCCCCCCCACCCCTTCCATTTTCTAAAAATCAATACATAAAATTTAAAAAAAGAGGAGTCCAAATATAGAAGGAATAGAGTGAGATGAATGGTGATGAATACTGAAAGGTAGTCATATGGACCAATAATTATGGACATTGATTAAATAATGTTAATTGACAATACAGCAGGTCCTCAAAGTCATTTCCTTTAATGCTATTTTGTCATAACGTTGATGAAATACCTTAGGAACTTAACTTTTGTATATATCAGTTATCCTGTGGTAAAACTGGTTTTGTTATACACCATTTCACTGAAAGTCAAAGAACCAATCAGTGACGTTGAGGACTAAACTGTTTAGTGGTTCTCAGTATAAATATTGGACCCATATGAGTTCTCTTCCATTTGCTACTTCTAACTGGGTGACTTTGACAAGTTAATTAACTTCTCTTGAGCCTTAGTGTTCTCATCTATAATATGAGGATAACCAGAGTATCCTCCCTTATAGATTTGTTGCTAAGCAGCAAAGTGCTTAACATTGTGCCATGGTTCAGTACCTAAATAAAATAGAAGTAGTTTTGGTAGGCATTATTGTCAGGTAGAATCTACAGAAGTGGTTTAAGGGCTAATTTTATCAACAAACCCTGTTAAGTCCAAGGCTTCTTGTCACAGGTCAGTCAGGAGATCCTAGAGTTATTAAATACTACAACAGCCAAGGAACAATCCATTGTTGAAAAGTTTCGGTCACGAGGTCGAGCCCAAGTGCAAGAGTTCTGTGACTATGGAACCAAGGAGGAGTGCATGAAAGCCAGTGATGCTGATCGGCCCTGTCGCAAGCTGCACTTCAGGTCTTTTGGGATGGGTCTCTAGGAACGGTCATTCTTTTCCAGCACATTGCTTCCTGTCATTAGGGTTGTCTTTAATCCTGTTATTAAATGGTTTTAATATGGTTTGTCTAAGACCTCTGGACTCTGACAGTATACTTCTAGAAGTAGTGTTCTGTGGGAGGGGATACAAATAAATGAATGGACTCCCAAATAAATGCAAGTCTTTTTTAATAGCAATAGCTTTCTTGCAATAGCAAGGCATCTCTTTCTCTGAGCCCCAGTGGAAGTTAAAGCTCTTTGGAAGGAAGACAATCTTAGGAGAAACAGGACTTGGACTCTTAGGTCAGTGTTATCCTGCTTTAACCAGCAAGCCTTTCCTTCCATAAGCGAATTATGTCTTTGCTCAGAGAGTAATTAAAACTCGTTCAGTGTAAATTACGGATTTCTATGTCATCTGCCTCCTCCTTCTCTGAAAACTCGTGGAGGAAGCTCTAAAGATAGAGAAAATTAGGAGAGGGGGAAATGATAGGAAACTTTGAACCCATTTGGACTTGAATTGTGGGCTCTAACTTTGGAACACCATCTTGACTCTGGTTCTCCCATTTTATTTCTCCAGACGAATAATCAATAAACACACTGATGAATCATTAGGTGACTGCTCTTTCCTTAACACATGTTTCCACATGGATACCTGCAAATATGTTCACTATGAAATTGATGCTTGCATGGATTCTGAGGCTCCTGGGAGCAAAGACCATACACCAAGCCAGGAGCTTGCGCTTACACAAAGTGTTGGAGGTGACTCCAGTGCAGATCGACTCTTCCCACCTCAGGTACCTGTCCGCTCAGAAACTTATCTCAGCTTAGGGACTTAATTGTAATAGGGCAGCCATACATTTAGGAAAGCAGGAAATAATTAGTAATCTTATCTTGCTGATTGGGAATGGAGTGGGATAGATATGCTTAGAAGGGAGTAGGAAAATCAAATGGAAAAGAGGGACTGGGGCCATGAATCTGAGAGTGGAGGAAGGGAAGATGACCAAATGCCACCTCATGCAGTGGATCTGTTGTGATATCCGCTACCTGGACGTCAGTATCTTGGGCAAGTTTGCAGTTGTGATGGCTGACCCACCCTGGGATATTCACATGGAGCTGCCCTATGGGACCCTGACAGATGATGAGATGCGCAGGCTCAACATACCAGTACTGCAGGATGATGGCTTTCTCTTCCTCTGGGTCACAGGCAGGTAATGCAGTTCAAAGATACGTAGTTATGGGCAGATAGAGTAAAGAGTGAGTACTGGGTGGGGATAAAATCCTGAGTTTTCCTAGATGTGCTATTAACTATATGATTGTACTTAAATAGGAAACTTAGGAAACCGTAGGTTTATAGTTAAACCTAGGAGATCCTGGGTTTTCCTAGATGTGCTGTTAACTATTATTAACTATATGATTGAGTCAGCTTTTTTTCCTACTGAGACTTAATGCGTATTTGTAACAAATTATACCTTGAGTTCTATTTAACTATGTTGTGAAAGGTAAGGCCATTGAGAATAGATACTATGTTTTATCTTCATGATCTTAGGTCCATACTGTTGTCCTAATGGTGTCTTGTATGTAAATGTTCACTGAAGGTCTACTGAAAACAATACTTAACATGTATCTTGGAGAGAAAATACAGACATGAACGTAGCTGTTTAACCCCTATTTCTTTCTAGGGCCATGGAGTTGGGCAGAGAATGTCTGAACCTCTGGGGGTAAGTAGCAATCATGTTACTCTTTTGAGGTAAATACATACATGCTACAGTTGAGATACATGTTTACTTCTCTCAAGAGTATTCCCCGTGATTCCTTGCCTCTACAGAGCAGATGGTACTACTCCTAACCTGTAGAAGTCTGATTAAAGCTCTAGTTACTTTTTCCTATGTCCCACAGTTACGAACGGGTAGATGAAATTATCTGGGTGAAGACAAATCAACTGCAGCGCATCATTCGGACAGGCCGCACAGGCCACTGGTTGAACCATGGAAAGGAACACTGCTTGGTGAGCAGCAGTGGGGTTCAATTCATTAGGTGGAGCAAAAAGAGGAATTGTTTGATTTCTTATTGAGAAAAAGTTCAAATGCTGGGTTTCCTAAGGTAATCTGTTCTCTGTGGTGAGCAGGTTGGTGTCAAAGGAAATCCCCAAGGCTTCAACCAAGGTCTGGATTGTGATGTGATCGTAGCTGAGGTATGTGCTTCCCCAAGCATCCAAAGCTTTCACATCTTAATTGTTAAAATTATTAGTTATTGAGGTTGGGGTATTCTTGTCCTGTGTTCTTTCATTTGGATCTTAAACATAAATGGAAAGGGTTAGAATTGCATTCTTGGGTAACTTAGAAGTAGCTAGACCCTTTATTTCCTAGGTTCGTTCCACCAGTCATAAACCAGATGAAATCTATGGCATGATTGAGAGACTATCCCCTGGTACTCGCAAGATTGAATTATTTGGACGACCTCACAATGTGCAACCCAACTGGTAAGGTGACCAGAGAACATGCTAGCCCTCAAGGGCAAAACTATTAATAGTCAAAGACAGAAGTTAGTAGAGCTTCACATCATATTCTAATATTCTGTAAATGGGCTTCAGAAAATTCATAAGCCATCCACGCTTGTATTTTAGACTGTTTTACAGAATTCTGTAACACTCACTGGAAACTCCACAGGTTTTAGGGTTCAAACCATTGTTCTCGGTTCCACTCTCTTACAAGCTAAAGACATTCCTGTTATTCTATGGATGTTTTCAATTCATCCCCTTGCGTTTACTAAGAATGTAATCTGTCAACAATTTTAACATCTTTCATCCTGTTAGTAGAGCTTTAAAATAGACATGCTATGCTGCTAGCATTTTACTTATCCAAGGAATACTCCCTGGCAGCAACTTTGTGAAGTAGTCTTGGTTAGCCATCAGGTATTAACCCTTAAGTAATACAGATCCTGCCTGTTTTAACACCAGAATCTGTGCCCAATTCCTAACTAGTCATGCTACCCCATATATTATTATAAGGTTTTTAAAAGCATTGGCATGAATATTTGATAAAACCATAGGCAGTCTTAATAAAAGGTATTCATTTTTTAACAATATTAAGGCCTTTTAATTCCAGGAATTTTGGTTTGCTTTATTTTTCCCCATGCTTCAGGATCACCCTTGGAAACCAACTGGATGGGATCCACTTACTAGACCCTGATGTGGTTGCCCGGTTCAAGCAAAGGTATCCAGATGGTATCATCTCCAAACCTAAAAATCTATAGAAGCACTTCCCTACAGAACTAAGCACCCATAGCTATGGCTCTGCAGGCTGCATCTAAAGAGTAATATTTTGTATAATAGCTCTTTTCCTTATTTAAATAAAAGTTTGTATTATAGATTTTGAGGTCAAATTTTGGCTTTGCCACTCAACACTGTTATCTCATGTAACTCATCTCTCGTATGATTCCGGATATGTAAACAGGAAATATTACCTACCTCATTGTGTTGTAAGGGTTCAAACTAAATGACTGCATGGAAAGCATTAAAATGTTGATTATGTAATATAGGATGAGTGTGATTAGCAACGAGAACTACATGAACATGGTAATAAAAGGGATGGAGTGTCTGGGACAGCACCTCTCAAGGTAAACTCTGAGCTTCACTTTAGATTATCTAATCTAGGGCTATCAAGCTCTGAACATTTGCTTATTCTATCACAGCTCTGTGGCTTTCTTAGTCTATTATTCTTTGGTTTATTTTCAAGAACAGTGAAATAAGTACATTTTAAGTTTTAAGTAAGTGCCTAGGGTGTACAGAGAATTAGCTTCTATGTATCATGTAAGTGAGAACATCTCTGGCCTACCTTTTAAAAGATATTTCTTCAAACGCAAGTGAACACAGCTTTGGACTTTGTAGATTTCTGCCTTTTAAATTCAGAAACTCTGATAACTGAGATAAGAAAGGACACTGACTACAGAAATAATTGTAAAGAGGAATAAATAACCTCCTAGGTGATGTTATTTTACCTACAGCCCAGTGTGCCTACTGTGTTGAAAACCTTTATTCTAAAAGCAATGTATAGATGTGATACTATTAGCTCTGTTTAGTGAAGCTTTTATCCCCTTTAAAATGGATGCATACTGTGGTAGGCTCAAAGCTGATTTGTACTCTCATAATTTTAATAATCTTTTAGACAAGTCCTATGACAGTTATACCAAGAAGTTTCCTCAAACAACCCCCCACCACCACCCCTATGTTCTGCTTGTCCATATTCCCTTCACCCTTTCCTCTGCTATTATCACTGGCATCTCTGCTTGTACTTGAAAGTAAAAAGCAATTCCAGATTATAGGAAACTCAATGGCCCTGCTCCACAGTCTAGCCCCTTGCTGAAGAGAGAAAAGGGGAGAAGCATGAAGGGACCATCAAGGGTTGAGATCAGGCACTATCAGAAGCACAGCTTGAGTTTTAAAAGCAGGGTCTTGGGCATGTTCCTGGTAGGTAAATCTTCACTGGTGTGGAGAACAGGAAGGACTATTTTACAAACACCACTGTGTTTGAATTTCTAGAGGCTAGCCAGGCCAAGAAGACATCCCTAAGAGAGAAAAAGACACACAAAGAATTACAGCTTAGATGTAATCTTGTTTCACTGTCTTAAATAAATAGGTTCCCAGTTAGCGTCCTATAGCATCAAGGTGAGATGGTATCACTCTATAAAAATAATAGGCATTGGGTCTGAAAGTCAGCAGTATAGGCAATCCTAATTTACTGCAGAGGATTTGAAATAGGAAATACCAATGCCTTGTTTCATGGATGTAGATAAATCCCAGGAAAATTTAGGGAGAAGGGCAAAATCTTCAGGACCCCCCCAACTGCTGCCATACTTAGCACCTTCTTGTGCTACTTATCACTTATCCATTCCTTCTCAAGTTCTAATTCCCTAAGTGGTGAGATTTGTACTAAGGAGATAAGTAAAGCTAATATTCAGTCGCTAGCTGCTTAATGTGTCATCATACATTTAAAGAGCATACATAAACGTAAACGTAGCACCTGAAAAGTGCGAACTGCTAATTATGTCATCTTTGTCTATGTGGCAAATGTAAGCTCTATTTAAGCAGGGGAACTTTTCTAATAGCCTCTACAATCATACACAACTACTCTACTTAAGGTAAGGTAATACTGATATGCTCAGGGTTACCATGTTTTCCAACAGTTAATTTAGCAATACCTGAATTATAAGAAGAGAAACTGTAACTCACCTGCAGTGCTTCACCACACACTCATTGCTGCAGTACTCATTGTCCCAGTCCTTACTTGCAACGGGAGGGTTCTCACAACCAGACCTCACACACCGAGGCTGGGGTGAGAGTGTTACAGGAGACCCACTCACCAATTCAACATCCATTTGGGAAGGAGATTCAACCTACGAGAGGAAGAGAGCACCAAAGATGAATTAGATTTGCTACCTTCCTTGCCAGCCACTAGTGAATATAATTCTGGGACCCAATGGAGCAACAGATGTTAAAGTCCCTAAGATATGAGGTAACATTCCAAATGAAGGTGAGTTTTTGGTCTTCCCCTTTTTTATCCAGTTTTAGAACCTTACCAAGCAGACTGACATGATTCTTCCCATAGGGAGAACACTGGCCGGCCATATGCTAGCATAGTTGACCCTTTAACAACTCAGGTTTGAACTGCATGGGTCTGCTCTAGCACATGCAGATTTACCTGTGCAGTTTAAGCACCATTACTTTTGATACATGGTTGGGAATCTGTGTATGTGGAGGGCCAGCCAGTAGTTTTACATGTGCATGGTGGGTCACTGTACTCTTTAATTTTAATCTTTGCCATCACTGACTTTATTCCACATTTGAATAATACCCCTCTGAAAATATCAAATCAAAAGTAACATGTAAATAGAGGTTAGGTCACCCCAACTAAGATTGCGAGGGCCAACAAGACAATATGCCATTAGAAAGAGGGAAAGAACTTTTGAGATTCATAGTTATTTTTCTTTAAAATTATTACTTCGTCAATTATGGAGCTGGTCTCAAATAGATCCCGTATTTTGAAATGACCACTGGTCACATGTAAGTTAGAACTAGGGTAATGGGCATCTATTTATGTTGCTTTGGACTCAATGATATGAACCAACTGAATTTTTCCACCTAGGTCCTTATCTAGTCCCACACTAAAAACATCAAGCCAAGCCACATATAGGAAAAAAGCAGCACTTCAATCTCCGAAGTTTAAGATCCCTGGGTAGATACCTCCAAAGAAATAATTCTAGGCTTCGGTTGAATCCTCTAGGATTCCATGTCCTCCTAATGCTTTTCACCAAGAACACTACAGAGTATCACGGGTGGGACAAGTCACAGTTGCAAGGATCTGTACTTTATGGCAACAATCTCCAACCTTTTTGGCACCGGGAACCAGTTTCACAAAAGACAATTTTTCTGTGGACTAGGGCTGGGAGGATGGTTTCGGGATGGCTCAAGCGCATTACATTCAAGCTCACCTGCTGTGCAACCCAGTTCCTAACAGGCCCAGAGGTTGGCTGAGGATCCCTGCTTTTGGTTGCCAGGCATTAAGTGCTAGTAGCAACCTCTACTTTTACAGCATCAACCAAACTTTTTCTTCATGTTTACTGGTCTACAGGAAAGAACTGAAAACAAGCTCACCTCAGGAACTACGTCTGTGATCATCTCACAGACTGTATCAGGAGAGGTTTCCTCCACTGTATGGGCCTCAGGACTGGCATTCATAGGCCGCTCAGGACTACTTTCCACAGCTGGTGGTACTAAGGTGGTCTGCATTTTCAGAGTGGGTCCAGGCACAATCTTAATCTGCAGAGGAGGTGGTTGTTGCTGTAAATTGATTCGAGCTTTCTGAGGTGGAGGCTGTTGCATAGCCTGGAGTGGGGGAGGCTGCTGCAGAATGGTCACTTGCTGCTGAGTAGGGGGCTGAGGCATCTGTTGCAAAGGAGGGGGTTGTAGTCGGGGTGGAGGCAATTGCATGGAAGCAGCAGCTGCTGCTGCTGCCTGCAACACTGACCGAGTGACAATCTGGGCTTGTTGACTGGGCTGGATAGTAGCTGTGCTGGTTTGGCCTAATTGTATCCCCCGGGAGGTCACTACTGTGGCTGGGATAACGGTAACCATCCCTCCTTGAGACATGGTAATAGATGAGGGCAACATCTGTTTGGTAATAATCAACTTGGTGATATTAGGCTGACCCCCAGCCCCAGAAGATGCCTGGTTTGCCACATAGGATGAAAGAGTGGAGTTAACAACAATGGAAGGAGACAGGGCAGGGGGCTCTGTTGAAGCTGGTGCTGGAGATGCTGGGTCAACGGTAGCCACAGGAGGTGGAGAAGGAGTCTGTGATGATGGCACTGGATCCAACTCCACTGTTTCTACAGTGGCCTAAAAGAAAACAAAAAGTCATTGGGAAATTTACTCTTTTCTGCAAGCTATATTCACTTTAATCACTTACCAAAAGATATAATACATCATAAATTGGAAATAAAAAAAAGATGGGGGGAAGGAAAATAGCAGCTGTGGGTGCCACCCTGGCTAAAGTAAACAATGAAAATACACTCAGAAAGACTGTTTAGCAAGGTTTATGATGAAACCAGAAAACCACGTTATAATGGAAACAGGAAACAGGAGGTCTGTCCAGAAGGTAATCCAGCCATGTAATATGAAAAATAGACATTTATTGAAGATACAAGAAACACTGTACATAGGACAATGATGCTATTGTCCCCCTCAAAGCAGGCACCTTGGGACCTCCCCCAGTTCTCGCAATCACCACTAGCTTCCCTGTCATATTTTCCTGAATCTCATCTGTGGTCAGAAATCTCCCTTTCAAAGGTGATTTTAGTTTTGGGAAAAGCTAGAAGTTGCAGAGCACCAAATATGGGGTGTAAGGGGGCTGAGTCACCTGGGTAATCTCATGTTTCACCAAGAAACTGCACAAGACACAATGCATGAGCAGGCGTGGTGTTGTAATGAAGCGCCATCACCAGTTGCACATAGGTGCAGCCTTCTGAATCATCCAAAGAGTTTCCATAGAGGAATGTTCAAGCTCGATGCAAAAACTGATGGAAGATTTGTTGCTCTACTCAGCCATTTTGAACACGACGGCCACACAGTACACATTCTCATTCAATGGTATGTGTCTACCACCCCCACTGACTAGGACAGTGAAGTCATCATTGTTTACTCACGTACATTGAAGTCCATTCTTCTTGGCTGCCAGGTTACATAGGTGTTGTGCAAACTATTACCGTTATATTAATGATAGCTGGATTTTTTCTGAACAGACCTCGTGTTTCTAAGCTTTTAATACTATATACAGTATTAAGAAGTTCCACAGGTTCTTGGTGGTATTCTTCTAACTGCTAATAAACAGCTCAAAAACTCTTTTTATTGGTTTAATATCCACCTACCCTAACCCTCTTACCTGACATTCTTGATTGTCTTTATAAGCAGCCAGAGCTTTCAGATATTCTTTCTTGGCAGCCTCAGTTTTCCTCTTATATACCTGCAGAAAGAGAAATCATTTAAGAAGTCCTCATATTCCCAGAAAAGACTGATAATTCTATTATTCATCAATGAATGACAATCTCAGTCTGAATATTGACAACTCCTTTTAGTGAATACATTTCTGAAAGCTAGTAATGAAGACAGACTTCATGTCAGACTTCCAGTGACTAAGCATCTGAAAGCCAGCCAATCAATAAGAACATAGCCAGAATAACTCCACTTATAAAGCTAACACCAACCCGTGCCTACTTCTGTTAGCAAAACAAATCCTGATCCCAAAACTATTTAAGATCAGTAGTCTACCTAGCCTGGGATTGTGCCTATACTCTCCCTTAAAGAATGTGTTAAATTGTTTGGAATGATGGCCAAACTTCTTTCCATCTTGTGTACTTCTTCCATCAAGAGCTGAAACCTATTTCCCCTTTCTTTGAATCTGGGCTAGGGCTAGCTCTATGAAGTGCTTTGTTAAAATGTGCCTGACTGACAGAGACCTTGGATCATCTGTTTTTGTCCTCTTGGAACACTGATCTACATTTGTCATACTGTAAAGAAGCCAGTCTAGCCTATGTGGAGGACAGGAGCCATGTGAAAGAGAACCAAGGCAGCTCAACAAACAGGTAGCACCAACTGACAGACATGGGAGCAAAGTCACCTTGGCCAATCATACCAGCTGTCATTTGACTACAACCACAAGAATAAGCCCAGGCAAGAACACTAGGAAAACCACCCAACCAATTTACAGAATCATGAGAAATAATAAATTGCCATTGTTTTAAGCCACCAAATTTGTGGCTTTGCTGAGTAGCAATAGGTAACCGATACAAGTTATCTATAACAAATCCATATTTTTCAAATTATTAAGTAGCAGACTCATTTTGACACACGACCTGGATAGTATGGGATAATTATAGCCGTTTTAAGTCTACATTTTATTGTATAGTATCACAATTTTCATTTTTTTAAATCCAAGTTCAATTTAGGGAGATTATAGTTTTCAGATTTAAAGTAGGCCAATGAGAAAATCTTGGGGACTATATTCTAAATTAAAACTTGGTAATGGATTTTAGAGTTATCCACAGTATGCAACTTATCAAGGAATAACCTAATTTTACAGTTAAAAAAAAATGAGGATTGGGAAAGTTAGATTCAGTGTTTTTGTAAGATTTATAATTTTTAGGTGGGTATTCTGGACTTGGTGTATGGGTGCAGCTTCTAGGACAAAGGATAATCTGTGAATACTATTAACAAAGATCTGGTATTAAGTAAGACCATGTAAGAAAGTTAAAACTTTTTACCCCCTTACTTAAAAACTTCTAGAACATTCATTATCCACTAGTTCATTATTTGCTCACCTGTTTTTGCTCCTCTCCAAGACTGTCCCACATGGAGGCCACAATTTTTGAAACTTCCCCAAAAGTGGCATTGGGATTCTGTCCCTTGATGGCAGCCTGTGTATCACGAAAGAATAAAGCATATGCTGAAACTGGTTTCTGAGGTTCATTAGGATCTTTCTTTTTTCTCTTCTTTGGGGTCTTCTGCTTTTTTCCTGCTTCCACCACAACTGTCTTCTGGCTGGGAAGTTGCTGTAGGGGAGAAAAAGAGAGAATTACAAGAAGGAAGAAGGGAAGTATCATTTCTGGAGAACTGTAAGAAAAGGACTTTTATATGGGGGAAACTAGCTACATGGATGGAATTTCAGAAATGCTAAAAAGAGGCAATAGAATTAAGGCATTAGTAAAGTATGTGAGGACCAATAAAAATGGAGATTGGGAGGAGAGTTATAAACTGTAAATTGAGAGGCAGGACCCCATACCCAGAAAAGAGCAGAGGAGATGGCGGGACAGGAGTAAAGACACTGAGTAGTTCTGTATGCCAAGAGTTTTATTCCAGAATATCATGGCAGATTTGACTTTTGGCAGGGAATGCCTCACCCTCCGGAAATCCTCAACACCATCCTCATGAAGTGAACTAGTAGGTGAAGGGGTGGTTGAAAGACGATCCTCAGGTGACTGGGCAGGTGGCAGGATGGTGCCACCCCCTAAGCTCAAACCAAGTTGAGAACTCAGTTCTGACTGATCAATGGTGGTCAACTGGCTATGCCCCATCAAGCCAGATGTCATGTCTGTCATTGGTACATCAATTGTAACAGGTGGGTTGGCGCTATACTGAGTTCCTATAGAATGGTCCAAGTCCTGAGAGAAGCAGAAGGACTAATTAAACACTAAATATAAAGAACACCACGCTTCCCCACCACCCTGAGTTCAGGACAGTTTCTAAACCCACTACTCATCCACATTGTATCACTGTTTAAACTCTAACATCAAATGATTTGTCTACATATAAAATATATTAAGCTTTTCAATAAAGTACTGAAATTAGTAAAGTCACTTCTTTGTACCCAAAGGCCTATTCCAAAACAACTAAAAACAACCAGAGAAGTCTTAATTTTGGACAAGTTAAAGAGCAAATAAATTATCTGGTAATCTGGAGGTAGTGAGACCCAAAGGGTAATGAAAAACTTTCCCTACACTCTGCTAAAATAATGGCTTTAAAAAAGTTGCAATACACAGGCAATCAGAGTAAATAAGGCCAAAGTCAAAATGTTTGGCGTCAACTATAATGTATGGAGATGTGCTACTGATGAGATGTGTTAAAAGCTCACTATACTGACTTGTAACACATACTAACCCACAATTAATACATTTGGTTCTGTCTGTTTTGGGATAAATCTCTGTGTGCCAACTATCACACTCACATTTGAATCCTAGGATGTGAAGTCCATGTTAGAAGGCGGGAGAGGGGTTAAAGACTTTTTTTTTTTCCCAGAAATCACAATAAATCATTTTTAATTCAGTGTTAACATCGGATATTTTACAATTTTAAACCACTTTTCAAGTAAAATTGACTCAGATGATTAAATTTCCTTCATTCAGGGGAATTAAGTCTTTGATGATGAGGCTTCATTGACAAGAATGAGAAACAAGTAATACCCAAGTACAGCAGAGAACGGAGAATCACTTCTGTCTTCCCTAATACCATGCCCATGAGCCTGGGTAAGCTTGAAAATGTCTTGCCCCTTACCATGGTCAAGCCCCCACTCAGGAGCCCCCCGCCCTGCTCCATCAAGCCATGGGTCATGCCCACAGGCATGTCCAATGTCTGGACCCCATATTGGGCTGAAAAGCTGCCATCCTGAGATGAGGAAGGGTCTGCCAGGTCATCAAAGTGGCCAACCACATCTGAGACAGCCAGTGAGGGATCAGAATCCAAGGAGATAGGTGGGATTTCAAATTCCTCATCACCCAAGCTTGGTGTATGGAATGTCTGTAGAGGGGAAAAAAAAGACAAATAATTAGTGGAAAGTGGAGGAACGGCCTACAGCCAAGGGAAGAACATGCTGAGTACTGGAGATTCTCAGTGTACCTCTTTCCAACCTGAATCCTATTTTTGTTTTAAATATCTTAGGACCTATTTAATTTTACAAATAAACCTCTCTTCTCATACTCTTGGTCATATGGCACATACAGGCAGCCAACATGAATCACAGTTTTTAATTCTTTTATTTCTTTTCTACCTTTATCATCTCAGTTATCCTGAACTATCATGCCTATTATTCTAATGAGTGATTCTTTCAGCACCATTAGTAAGGCCCCAGACTTTATAACCTATTTAGCTATGATGTTTAAGCTCCAAATATTGTGACAGCAGTTATTTCACACTTACTACACCTGAGTTGTTAGACCACAGAAACTCATTGTCAACCACACAATTATACTTTGTTGTTTTAGGTTCCTTTAAAGCTTATCCTACATGGGTACCTTATCCCCCTCTAAAATGTATGCACTTAAGAGTTTCCTACCTCTTTCTCATTTTAGAAATCAAGATGTTAACAAATAAGATTCCCATCTGTACAGTATTTTTAGAAAACCCACAATTCCAAATAAGAATAATAGTGAGAAAAACATAACAGTTACAGTCAAAAGGTAAATTTAGTATATGGTGCTCACTTTGGCAGCACATATACCAGGTAAATTTGTGAAGTGTTCCATGTTTAAAAAAAAAAAAGGCAAAACAGTTTTCTAACAGTTACTGAAAATATTCTTGGTCTTGCTCTGACCAAGCCTTTCTACAAGCAAGTAAGAAAAAGATTACTCCAGCTGGCTAAAGACTCAATTCCTTTCTCTAAATCCAACTACAAAAATAATATCCTCTTTCTATTCTGAATGGGGCCACCATTCATGGAGCTAACAGACTAACGGCTGATGTAAGGTATGTTAAATGGTATGGTTTCCTTTTGTCACCAAAAAACTAAAATGGCATCTGCAAGTAGGTTTATGGGTTTACAGTTGTGAGCACATGAAGCAGTTTATTTTTGTATTATTTATTAATTATTGTATTATTTTCTATTCAAACAACTGTAAACCTACTTTTGCCCAATCCTGTAAATAATATCAAGAGGCACAGCATCAAGGGAGAACTTGGGTTCAAGTCCCAGCTCTGCCCCTTACTACAGGACCTTAAATGACCTTTCCTCATCTATAAAATGGGAGTTGTAATGGTAATCTCCTTACATGGTTTCTTTGAGGAATAATGGAATTTAGTACAACAAAGCTTAAAATTGCACTCCTTGATATATACACACATACACATAACATTTGCTTAAGACCTGTTATTAACCAATTGTTACTAATGATAATATTAATATCTGAGCTATTAAAACTTGCCAACTGCCCCAACCAATTATCACAGGTAGCTGAAATTTTGGAAACTTTAAATTCTATCAACCTGTCACATGGTATGGTTAATGTCAACTGGTCCAGATCAACTCCAATAGACACCCACATTTTTATCATGATTAAACAACGCATTCTAAGAGGTCATCAAGGTTCTTCTAAACCCAGAAAGGGTCTAATACCATTTTTATTTTAATGAAGACAGTGCTAGAAGAATACTTTCAGCTAGTACAAACGAGGGAGAAAAAGGTTTATCTCTAAAATGCCCAACTGCTCTGAATCACACCAGCAAACAGAAATACGTTTCCTAGAAGACAAAAAGACATGTATATAGTTTCATTTCTGTATTTTTCTCCTCTAAGATCCTCACTATTTTAGTTAGCATGGCAAAAATTTGGTAGTTATTTGGGCTATATCATGACAAGTAATAAAAGGAACGGAGGGGCAAGCAGTTCTTGATAGAAAAACTAAAACTCTCAAGAACTGAACTTTTCTCAGTACACAACTCATAATTTTTGTTATTATGTGGAAGTTCTTAATTTTAGGTCCATGACACTGAAATTTCAGTTTAGATTCATGTGAGCACTTTTCAGGAAGTGGGTACAAAGATCTTTTTACCAAATTCTCATGCAAACAAACAAGCTACAAAGACAGGAAAAAGGACTGGGGAAATATTTAATGTGCTAGATCAACTGTTACATAATAGCGGTTTTTAATTTTTTTTAAAGACACAGATTGCTTTGGCAAAGTAAAAGATGCCTATTCACAACAAAAGATATTTACCACACAAAAAAGCAACTCTGCTGAGATAGGTAAATGATATTATTTGTTAATGAGAAATGAAAAATAATAAAAATTCATACCCCAAACAAGAAACCAGTGTTCTACAAAAGACCTGCCATCACAAACCATCTGGAGTGCTCTCATGGACTACACTAAAAAACCAGACTTGCAGAGATTCCACTGTATCGAATTAACAAGGCATTTTTTCTAAGTACTATCTCCCAGAAACAGCTTTGTTAGTCACTATCTATGACTTTAATGGTGGTTTCTTTTTTGGGGGTGGGGAGGTGGTTGTTTTACTTATTTGTTTTTTTCCCTTTAAGTAGGAAGAGTAAAATAATGACAATGATTAAAAGTACAAAAGGGTAAATAAGCCACATGCTAGAATAAACAGAGATTCACTCTAAATTCCTTTTACTACTACAAGTGATCTGTAAGATTGTGATTAAAATCCAAAAATGAAATCTCAATTTATTTTATTTTAGTGGATCTACTACATAACTAAATCATACCCTAGACTGTCAAAAAAACAAAGATAAAACTGGCAAATATTAAATACAAATAATGTAGACACAGAAGGAGAAAACACAAACAAGATGCAGCTACCTTCTCATTCAGCTTTCTTTTCCTTCTCTGTTAAATTCCTGGGTCTTTTAGGGGGAGGAAGCAGTATGGGAATTACAGTTTATAAAATAAGGATGCTTACCTATTGAGGAATCAAAAAATTTAAAATACCATTTCCCTCCCATTTCACATTCTCCCTTACCAAAACACACAATCTAGTATTTTTTTAGTTTCTTGTGTAACTTATTCAATAAAAAAATGTAATCCGACATCTATTTATTCAATAGTACACTGGTACTACAAGTTATTAATTTATTAAACTTAAAAACTGATATAGTAGTGAAATTTTTAACTATTCAACCTGAAATCATTAACTGGTTCTAATGTTACACTTTTTCTAATTCAGCATAGGTTATTTATGACTTACTTCCCAAAGTGCTAAAAGTACAATATCATTATATTAGAGCCAACCTGAATGAAACAAAGATTAAAGTTCCTTCAGATTATAGAGCTTTCTTATTTCAAGCAATGTTATAACAAATGCTAAGCTTGCCTCTCTGGACATGTACTCTTTCAAAATTATTTGTAACTTTTACTAAGGTATAATTTATGTACACAAATTTTAAGTGTATAGTTCAATGATTTTTTTTTTAATGTATGTCAACATCCAATGAACCACCACTTGATCAAATACACAGAACATTCCTATCACTCCAAAAGTTTCTCATACTCCTTTCCAGTCAATGTTCCCTCCCTTCCACAACAGATATTACTATTCTGATTTCTGTCACTACAGTTTAGTTTTGTATATCCTTGTTCTTCATTTAAAAATAAACTCATGTCTACTCTTTTATGCCTGGCTTCTGTTATGCAAGAACATATTTTTGAGATCATCAAAGTTGCATTTGTTAGTGTTTGTTCTCTTTTTATTGCCGTGTATTTCTTTTTTACAAATGCACTAGTTTATTGACACTTGGGTTGTTTCATTTAACTATTATGAATAAAGTTGTGCACATACATGTTTTTGGTGATTATATATGCACTCATTTCTCTCATGTATATATCAAAGAATGGAATTACTAGGTCACAGGATATTCTTAGTAGATACTGCCAGTTTTCCAAAGTGGTTGAATCAATTTATACTCTCACCGATAATGATTAAGAGTTATCGATATCCTTGTTAACTCTTGGAATTGTCGGTCTTTTTAATTTTAACCATTCTGGTGAATGTGTAATGGTATCTCCTTATGATTTAATAGGCATTTCCCTGAGGAGTGACAATGACCCTTTTTCATATGATTAGTGGTAATTTGGATACCCTCTTTTATGAAGTATGTGTTCAAATCTTTCATGAAGTATGTGTTAAAATCTTGTGCCCACTCTAGACTTCTCAAGGTGATCACTTCCTAAGTTATATAAATGTGTAATCACTATATTGTACACTTGAAACTAATATTTGTATGTCAACTGTAATTAAAAAAAAAAAAACAGCGGTCTCTCCAGCACTGTGTACTGCCTCCCACCATAACGTATTTGCAGAAAATTCAGCACTTAGAAAGTACTCAAAAAAATAAATCCTTAACATTAACCAAAAAAAAAAAAATCATTTCTCCATGTTTAAATTGTTTTTTTAATTTTGCAATAGTATTTGATATATTTTTAATATAAGCCAGATATATGTACTTAAGATATCTTCTCAGACTCTGCAGAATGCCTACGTAATTTCTTAATGATGTGTTTTGATGACGTCCAGTTTCAATGAAGTCCAGTTTTTCAATTTTTTATGGTTAATACTTCTGTGGACATCCTTTTCTTGCAAGAAAACTCTAAAACTCACATTTCTTCTAAAATAAATTTTTTAAAAATTACATTTACTTGTTCTAGGTGGCTAGCATTAAGACTAGATACAACAAATACCACAAACTGATTAAAGTAAAGCTTAAAAAAACCACACACAGGGGAAGGGAAGGCGAAGTTGCAATGAGGAGGAGAACTTTTATCAATGACAGGGCCCTGAGCTAGTAGAAGCCATTGAAATGTAGTATCAGCTTCTTGGCAAAGTACTTTTTCTTTTCTTTTTTTTTTAAAATATCTTAGTCATAAAGGCAAAACTGTGGAGACCTGATTACGTAGAGAAGAAATTGGCAATGATGCACTTTTATGTAGATGAGGTAAATATGAGATTTACAACACTTGCAATAATGAAATTAAACCACGGAGATACTACTTAGAAGAAACCGGCAATGAGACTGCAAAGCATCAAACAGATTTTAGTTTTATATAATTTGTAAATCCTGCTGCTCATTTGATTCACCCTTTCCCTTGCTTAGGAGAATAATAAATAACTATTAAAAAGTTAGAAACTAGCAAGTCCCCCATGTCAATCTCATTCTCATGCATGAAAATGTTAAGATTTATTATGGGATAAGCCTATTCAACAGCAATTGAGAATTCTTGGTACAAAAAAAACAAACAAACAAAAAACTGATGCAAATGGTTCACACCACTGTTGGGAAAAAATTAAAGTCTTAAAAGACAGTAGAGCTCAATACTTAACAGTTTCTCAAACACCAGGAAATTTATTTTTGTCTGTTCCATTTTTCTCTTTGCCTTACTTAAGTGATACATATCTATGACAATATTTCATAGGAAACTTTTCCACAATTAGTGTAAGACCTCACCATAACCATTACTTCTATTTCTCAACATCACAAGAAACTATTCACACAGCCACTTGATAGCTGGAGAAACTGTATACAAAGGTGAACTAACCTGCTTTAAACTAAGTCACTGGCAAACAGAAACACACGTTCTACTCAACTCCCTTCATGTTTTCTAGCATCTATTTCCTTTCATCCCACCACTAGCAAAACAAGCTAACAACGTGTACGTAAAAATAAGTATTAACTTTTTAATTTTTATCACCGAGTGGGAAATCTAAATGAAACAAAGATCCCTTCAGCAGAGTTCCTTTTTAAGAATGAACACATGCCCACAGTTAACCCCTGATTAGGTGGTACCCTCAGCCCAATTTTTTAGCTGAAATATTATCTTCCCTTTGCGATCCCCCAAGATTGTCGTAGTTATTTCTCTCTCCAACTAAAGGAGACAATTCCACTGTCATCCAATCCAGAATCACTCTGAAACAGATTAGCTCTTTCCAACGTCCCGCTCTTCTGATGACAGCAGCTTCCCCGGCCTCTCCTTAGACCTCGCAGGCTCCAGAAGCAGCTGCCACTTTTCTCTCCATACCACTAGCGGCCTCTGGTTCCCAGCCCCCGGTTCCTGGGGTCCTCTCCTCTCCACCACCGTACCCCACCGCAGCCTCTCGCGCCCCCCTCCCCCAGCATCGGCAGCTCGTGCTCACCTCGGCCCCTGACAGGAAGGGGTGCGAGGGCCCTGTGATCGTCAGGTAATTGTCATTTCCTCCGGGAAACTGGAAACCAAAAGAAAGCCGCGAGGATAAGTTAGGGGGGAGAAGGGAGTTAGCTTGGAAAGATGGATTCTGACCCCGACATTCAAACACTTCCCAAACCCCGCTCTTTCTGCCGCCCCATCAACTGCCTCTCCGCCCAGCTTCCCGCCTCTGCTTCAATCCGGCCTGCTGCGCACTCTTGCCAGTCTTCTTAGTGCTCGAGTTCCTACCTCCATCTTCACACAACGACTACCACCGTCTCACTCCCCTCATCGTTCCCACCGCCCCCACAGGACTTGGCACTGCCGTCACTTCCGCAAGGACGTGCGTCGCTCTCCCCTGATTGGAAGGAGCCTCATGGGGCTGGTGGGAGTCAGACCCGGGAAGGCCCAGGAAATGGGAAGGCTAACTATCGCCCCCTGGAGCTTGGTGGGATAATGGCACGTAGGTGTGTTAGAGGCGTCCGTGGATGCGGTGTCTGGGTATTACCGTCAATCTGACCCAGAGAGGATTTCTGGGGAGAGCAATAGAGACGTGATCTGGGCTAGAGGGGTCGGAGTTGGGCGGGTTGAGTGGCTAGAGAGGCCGGAGGTAAGTGGCTGTTGAAGTCGGGCGGACCCGGAATCCAGAGGAAACAGGACCATGACTTATGCTTATCTCTTCAAATACATTATCATCGGGGACACAGGTAATCCGCGGGCGACTGCCCTCATTGCTGGGGCGGGGATCCCAAGCTCCCAAATCATGTCGTAGGGGCGGGGCTCATTTAGTAGGCTGGGCGGTTAAGTGAAGAGCGGGCGGGGGCGGGGCGGCCGGAGGCGGGGCTCGGGGGCTCCTCTTCCTCAGTCCCGGACGCCCAGACTCTGTACTGCTCCCAGACCGCGTGAATGCTAGAATGTCCGTCCTCTTTTAGGTGTGGGGAAGTCATGTCTCCTCCTGCAGTTTACAGACAAGCGGTTCCAGCCTGTCCACGACCTCACAATAGGTAATTGCATCTACCCGTCTGAGAACAATAGTGAAACCTGACTAGCTAAAGTGGAAAGTTAGGAGCCTTCAGGGTTTGAAGTAAAAAGTTAGCTCTCCCTTCTTTTCAACTAGGCCAAAATTATGTTAAATGAAAAACGATCAGTCAAGTGTTCTACATGGGATGTAGTGTAATGGGGAGTAAATAATTGAAAGGTAACTTTAGAAATGAGGTTTAGATATGAATTTGTTGCTGTAGGACTTTTTTCCCAAATGCAGTTTGAATGTTTATGAAAAATCCCACGAAAACATACTTGCTTTAATACTCGCTTTGAGGTAAATTAGGGCCAGCCTCACGTACGTTTTGAAAAGTAATTATCAATATATAGTTTTTGTGTGTGTGGGAGAGGAAGAAGCAAGTTGAAGAGCCATCCCAGACTTAAAATTGAAAGGTAGATTAAACTAATTTATAAGGAAAAGAGTATGTTAGAGTTCCAAAAACACACTGGTGATCCTGGAAAGTATAAATATCTCCCACACATGTGTAGTAGGGCATGGCCTCCACGATGAGATTATTGGAGGTCTGAAGTATATTATCCTTGAGAACCTATTTCTTAGATATGTTTTTTTCCTCAAAAAATTCCAGAATTGTAAAAAATAGAAATACTGTTTTATATAGAGGACTAAAGAGTGACTTTGATAAAATACAACCCTTTCCCCATAATCTCCATAACTTCGGCCTAAACAAAGAAATATTATATAAAACTAGCCTTCTTGCCATGCAAATGCAGCCTCTGAATAAAATCTCTGACTCCCATTCTTACCATATTGTCACCTCCAGGACCTGCATTATGAAAATCTGGAGCTACTGCTGCTTCTAAAGGACTTATTCAGAGCCAAATAACTAATGTGGTTACAAAAGGATTTAGAAGATAGTATCACCAGGAAAATATTTTTGGAAATGAATATTAAGTGGACACCCACACTGTGATAGGTGCTAATGATACATCGCTTCATTAACAAGGCAAACATTGCTGCTCTTAGGTAGCTTACAGTCTTCCAATGTACGAGGTGGAGCTGGGGGTAGATACAGTGTCCTGACAAGTAAATTTCTATTGCAAAAGGGGAGGAGAGAGTGCCACCTCTATCAGGAAAGGCAGGAAATTGAAGAATGAGCAGGAGTTAGCTGGGCAAAGGGGTTGTAGAGATGAAGGAAAAGCAATTGGGGAAGAGGAAGTAACGTGCAAAGGCTCAGGAATGACAGATCAGGTTACCTTTGGAAAACTGAAAGTAATTTAATATGGCTGGAGCATGGAGTTTGAAGTGGAGAGTGGAAAAAGTTAAAGCTAGAGAATAAATTAGGGACCAGGTTTTCAAACACCTGAAGGAAATAGGAATAAATGACAAGTTTTAAGTCAGAGAAATCATGTGATCAATAAAGTTTTTCCTCTGTACCAACATAAACAGGGCAGTTGGATAGAAAATATGTGCAAAATATAAGGGTCTCTGAGGGCATAACCAGAGAAAGTTTTAAAAGTTGCATAAAAGGAAACGAAGTTTTATTTTTTTAATTCCTCCCCGTTAGAATTCCATTCCCATTTTCCAGAAGGGGGAAAAAAAGCCATTAGGGACTTTTTTCAATAGCTATCACTATTCGTGATGAAGCAGTCTAGAGTAGTAAGAAACACTTTTTTAATTTTATTGACTGCAGCATCTTAGAGTTGAAAGAGAGATTCCAAGTATATGTGTATTGTGGAATACCGAATAGGCACTTATAAGCCCATTAACAGAAGCTAGATTAGTGCCCCTTTTTTTACTTGGAAATCAATTCCTCCAGTAAAGTACTGTATAAAAATAGAAAATAGGACAAATTGTTTGAATTATAATCAAGTGTTTTTAATGTAAATGACTTTTGGTTTCTAAGTTTTGTTTTGACATTACCTTGAAAGAAGGTGAATGCCAGGAAACCAAAACTTTTATTCATACTGTCAATTTCCATACTTCTGTGAGGAGGATGGGAATTATTGGAAGTCTGAAGTGTATCATCTTTGAGAACCTATTTCTTAGATATGTTTTTTTCTCAAATTCTAAAATTGTAAAAAATAGAAATATTGTTTTATATAGAGGACTACAGAGTGACTTTGATAAAATGCTAGGAAATAGTTTCAAAATTTTTAGAAGTTTATTAAAAAGCTATGAAATTAAACATTACCTAATCAAATTTAAGCATTAACTAACATTGGTAAAAATTTATTCACCTTTTCTAATTGGCTTCTCAATTTGTTTTATCCACATACCTGCTTTTTGGTTACATTCCTGAGGTTATCCTCCAGAACACTGTTTTTAATTTTAGAAAAGAAATGAAACTTCAGGAAACACAAAATTAATTAGGGCAAATAGGCAGTGATAATGAACTTAAGGGCACAGAGGGCAGACAGGATAAGTCATTAGCCTAGTGAAGAAAAGCAGGAACCTATTACTCAACATGGCTCTTCATGAGAATCACATTCTTTCTCTTGGTCTTCACTGACAGGTGTGGAGTTTGGGGCCCGTATGGTCAACATTGATGGAAAACAAATCAAACTACAAATCTGGGATACGGTGAGAGAGGACAAAATAATTTACTCCCTAACTAAGATCCAAATATAACACGAAAGGCTGATGCAGGGGAAAAGGGCTATTTGGGTGGGGCTCATGGTGGAGATGAGAGTAGGGGAAGAGTGAAATCAAAGAAATAGGGAAGCTTTCATTTCCTTCTGTTACAGTTACAAATTTAGAATGCCCTATTTTTTAAATTTTGTTTTAAATTACTCAAATAATATATACTACATACTTTTGTTCTAGTGAAAAAGTGTATAAAAAAAGAGCATGCCACTTTTTATACACAATAAACCTCTCTCCCTCCCAATGTTGGTTTCTACTTTGCCAGAGTAAAACACTATTAATGATTAAGACTTTTGCTCTGTATTTAGATACAGAAATAGAAACAAATAATATGGTAGTGCTTTTGTTTTTGTTTTTAGAATTGTGACAAAGTAGACCTAGCTTTATGACTTAGGTATTTTTAACGATCTCTATGTTGTGGAGACTTTTCCATGTCAGTACGTATAGATCTACCTCATCTATTTTAACCACTTCATAAAATGTCTGTACCGCAATTAATTTAACCATGTGCCCATTGATGGAAATTTAGGTGGTTTCCAGTTTTTTACCTTTGCAAAGTTTTATCGATCATTTTTATTTACTACATCTTTATGCAAATGTGTGAGGATTTCTGTGAAATACCTGCCCAGAAATGGAAACTTTGGGTCAAGGGTTACGCATATTTTAAAATTTGACAAATTTAGTACTGCCAAAATTTAGCTTGACTGTGTAATTTTATCTTGATAAAATTGCTTTCATGTGCATTATCTCATTTGGTTTGTACTTTTGTTTCCCTAAGAAAAATAATATTCTATCTATATTTTTAAGTTAAAGAGAGCTAGCACATAGTTCCTAATAGTCAGCTAAAATCTGTTTTTATTATTTGATTCTGTATTTTCCCAACATCCCCCAACAGATGTCTTTTTCTTTCTGTTTAATTGATTTTTTTTTTTTTTAATAGAGAGGGGAAGAGAGAGAAAGAGAAACATAGACCTGTTGTTCCACTAATTATGCATTCACTGGTTGATTCTTATATGTGCGCTGGCTGGAGAGCAAACCTGACACCTTGGCATTTTGGGATGATGCTCTAACCAGCTAAGCTACCTGGACAGGGCAGACGTCTGTCTGAAAAATAGTTACTACTTGGTGCTCTAGGCCCTTTTTGCCCTGAGCCCTTCTCCGGTGGTCTCCAAGGTTGTTACCACTTTTGAATACACTGACTGATATGCTTCCAAAACTGTGATTATGTTCTCCTGTACATTTTTTTGTTGTATTTGCAAACATTTTATTAATGTTTCGCCCTTCTGATTAGATTTTTCATTTTACTATATTGACTTACCCTTATTATAGGAAAATGAATCCTTGCATATCTGTGATAGTGGTAGCGCTAGCTAGGTAACCTCTAAAACTTCCAGCTTCTTTCGACCAGTTTTGTCTCTAGCCTTTTCCGCCCAATAAAGCCTGAAAGGTATTATTCTATATCTGTTGTCAAGGTTCAGTTCATATATTTCTTAGACAGCTGCCACTTATTCCCTTCTTATTTTATTGTTGGGACCCAGGGGTTCTTATTCACTATTAATCCAAGTAAGTGTTGCAACTTCCCTGCTATTATCCCTGGTTTTTGTATTTCTCACAGAGATAGAATTGCCCCCCTAAAGAGGCCACAGGACAAAAATCTGTGGAGGTGACAAAGAGTGAAAAGCCTATAGGTATCAGGACTGGTATTAGCTAAATTCTGCCTTTTCCACTTAAACCTCTATAATTTCTAAAACTGGGTCTTTTGATGCCAAAACACCCAATAGCTGCCATTTAGTGGTATGTTCATGGTCACGAGAGTGTCTTAGCATTGGCTTGCTGGCTTTTTCTTTTTTTCCCTAGAGAGAAAGTTGAGAGTGACTGCTCTATTGACAGGATCCTCAAGAACTAAATGACCTGATAGTCACTTGTGATGCAGCTGGCCGAGTTCTTTTCTGTTCCCCACTTTTTTAAATCCTTACCTGAGGACATGTTCATTGATTTTAGAGAGAGAAGAAGGGAGAGAGTGAGAGAGAAACATCAATTGGTTGCTTCCCACACACACACTCCCACCAGGGATTGAACCTGAAACCTAGGCATGTGCCTTGACAGGGGATCGAACTTGCAACCTTTTGGTGTACGGGATGATGCTTTTACCAATTGAGCCACCCAGGCAAGGCTCTGTTCCCTTTTAGTAATTGTTCTGAGATTAGATTAATCTTTGTTGAATTATTAAAAGATACCAGGTTTCAGAATACAGGAGTTTTTCATTTATTTTGAAATTTTTAAGAGATTCCTACTGCCCTAGCCAATATGGCTCATTTGGTTGGGCATTGTCCCACAAAGGTTTGATTCCTGGTCAGAGCACATGCCTGGGTTACAGGTTTGTTCCCTGTTTGGGGCCCATATGAGAGGCAACCCATTGATGTTTCTCTATCACATCAGTATTTCTCACTCTCTCTTTCTCCCTTCCTTCCCCTATAAATAGAAATAAAAGTAAGTTAATAATTGAATCTATATATATATAAAATTACATACACACAGGGTCCAGCACAGATAGCACCACTTTTTTATTACAAAATCTTTTATTACAAAATCATAAGCATATAATTCTCTAACATAACAATATCACACTCAAGCACACCATAGGACATTGTATGAGAAATAGCCAAAATAAAACTATGAAGTATTACACCCATATTATTACTCTCTCAACCACACTCAAGCAGGCGTTACTTCTGCTGGAGAGAGTGTGTGTGTGTGTGTGTGTGTGTGTAATTTTTAAAAAAGATTTCTACCTATAATGTAGCTTCTGTCTCCTCTGCCACTCTCCAGGTAAGATACTTCCTGACACTTCTCCTTTGTCATCCCTGATTTTCTGTCCATTGTTTACCCCTTCCGTTGGCTTCCACTTTGTTGACCCTATTTCCTCACTCCCAAAGCCATCCTACATGCAGATGTTTAGGGATTACCAGGAAGGGTATTTTAAAGAGAACAAGTTATCCAAAGTGATTTGTTGTCACTGTTCTGGTTGTTGATAAGGATTTAGAGAGCCATATTACTTTTTATCTTCTTTCATTCTGTATCTATAGTTGCACAAATAACTATGCTAACTGAAGAGGAATTGTAATGTGGCTAATATAAAATATTGATTAAATAATCCCAAATTCATTTGTATTTTATTTTGGAGTGCATTTTGATTCTTAGGAAATGAGTGTATCAGCCTTTGTAGGAATTGATACTTCCAAGTTCAAATTGCAATATTATGCTTTCACTTGGGAGAAATTAGAAAACTGTTAATTCTCTTTATCAAACCTCCATCTTAGTGTTTGCTGCTTCAGATTTTTTTTTTATTGGGGATGGACAGAGATACCTCCAACTGAAAGCAGACCAGCCTAGATCCAGTCACTCCAGCTTGTTGGCCTACAAACTTTGGTTCACGATGTGAACTGAGATGAAGAAGTAAAGTGAAGTAAAAGTACATCACTTTTACTTAAAAAAGATGTATTTTGCTTAACCAAGTATTAAAAATGGAAAACTCCATACATTTTTTTAAAAAAAGAGAAAAGTCAGTAAGATAAAAGCAAAACAGGAATCAATTTAAGACATAAAACTATTAGGGAATAAATAAAACTTTGAGTTCTTGGAGAGAAAACGTATTTTAAATCTTAAAGTATTACTAATATTACCAACAAATTCTTTAGAATTATTTTTGATTCTGATGTTCTAACAGGTAGACAACTCAACAAAACATTTGTATGATTCTTCCGGGAAGAGATTCTTGTGTTGTTGGAAGAGTAACCTTAGAATTGTCTACTGGAATTCTCTTCTCATCCTCAAACCCAGGTTTAGATTATATGATATAATGACCAAGAAAACAAAGTTTTGTGCTAGGATCCTAAGTTTAAGCTATGGGTTCAGAATTTATAAACTTTTGGCCAGTTCCTGAACTTACTACTTTGAACCTAATTTTTTCCATTTGTGGTATTATTAGTGTCATCACTGTTACTGTTTTTATACTATGAGAAAGCCATTTATTTTCCCATGTCCACATTTTAGTTTTCCCATCTTTAAACCTTCCTTCCCAATCTATATGTAGGGATATGAGATTAATTGATTTCAAGAAGGTGAACACTTTCCTAATAGGATAGATTCAATGTCCAGGGTATTCATGTATTCATACTATTATTTAAAAGATGCTTTTCCTTCCCCTAAAGTGGAGGGAGGTGAAGAGAACTGTTCCATTAAGAAAGCAAAAATACCCATTGTAAGGGGCATTAGTAAATTGCTTAGTTATAAATAAAAATATCTTGACCTCAACTGGAAATGAGATTAGAGTGTGAACAGTTGAATTTTTTTTTTTAAAAGGAAAACTCTGCTCTGGGCCCTGGACTTCTTTCCCTGTTTCTTATTTCTATTTGCCATGACAAGATCCCAGCAAGGGATGTTTTGGTAGTCCTGCCTTTATTAGTAAAATAGTACAGGTCATCAGCATACACCCAATTTAAGTGCTTTGTATCTAATTTCCTGCATTGATTCATTGAAATGAAACTTCCATTAGGGTATTGGCATTCTAAGATAATTTTCCTTTTTTAAAGATAAAGGAATAGAATCAAAAGAAAGGTTAATGTGATGTGTTCAACATCACATTTGGATTGACAATACAACATGCACTGAGTTTCTTGTCCTATTTCTAGTTTTCTCCTAGGGGATATTGGGAAATGTATTGAAATGTGTTTGTCACATTGACCAGGGATGTTAATCAGCAATTTGATAAGTGGTCTCATGGGAAGAATTGACCCACCCAAAATATCAATTGCATTCCCTTTCCAAAATATTGATTTCCCTCCTGGGTTTCTCCCTGGACAGTCATGTTTCCTTTTGCTAATTCCTTTTTCTTATAGAAATTAAAAAAAAAATTATGGCATGTGATCAAGTCAGTTCTCTGGAAATAACCTGGTTTTGTTGGGATATTTTTTGTTGCCATGTTGGTGGGAAAGGCTGGGCAAGAATCCTTCCGTTCTATCACCCGTTCCTACTACAGGGGAGCAGCTGGAGCACTGCTGGTGTATGACATCACAAGGTGAGTCAGAACTGGTGGGCGGGAGAGAGACTCTTCTCTGAGTTCTAGAAATCAGAATGCTAAAGAAGAATGACATCTTATTTTTGATTTACACATGTTGCTTTTCTCCTTTTCCCATACATTTGGAATTTCTTTGGCATTTTGAAATGGACCTCAGACCCACTTTCTAAACTTTTCTGCTGTAGGCGTGAAACCTTCAACCACCTGACCTCATGGTTAGAGGATGCCAGGCAACACTCTAGCTCCAACATGGTTATCATGCTGATTGGAAATAAGAGGTAAAGTTTTATTTGAATAAATAATAAGTACCAACAGTCATCTGAGTACTCTATGGACATTGAATCACTTGGTCCCCAAACTTTTTTAGTTTATGGTGCTCTTAATATCTTTGGTAAAAAAAATTTTGTGGTGAAATAGATATAACATAAATTTTACACTTTTAATTAATTTTAAGTGTACAGTTCTGTGGAATTAAGTATGTTCATGTTCTGCAACCATCACCAGCATCCATCTTCAAAATATTTTCATCTTCCCAAACTGAAGCCCTGTTCCCATAAAACACTAACTCCACATTCTCCATCTCCATACCAGCCCAGCATTCTATTTTCTATCTCTGTGAGTTTGACTACTTTAGGCACCCGTATAAGTGAAATCATACAGTATTTGTCATTTTGTAATCATGGCTTATTTCATTTAGCATAGTGTCTTCCAGGTGCATCCATATTGTAGCATGTGTCAGAATTTCATTCCTTTTTAAGGCTGATTAGTTTTCCATTGAATGTATCTACTACATTTGTTTATCTATTCATCCAGTGATGGATTCTTGGGTTGCTTCCACTTTTTGGCTATTGTGAATAATGCTGCTGTCAACATGGGTTATACAAATATCTGTTTGGGTCACTGCTTTCGAGTCTCTTGGGTATATAGCCAAAAGTGTGATTGCTGGATCTCATGGTAATTCTGTGTTTAATTTTTTGAGGTACTTCCATACTGTTTTCCATAATGGCTATACCATTTTACATTTCCACCAGCAATATAGTGTTCCAATTTCTCCACATCGCCCCCAAAACTTGTTATTCTCAGTAAATTTTCTATGGCAAACATAACACAAAAGAAATGGCAAATTCTTTTGTTATTAAATAGTTGGATCTAAACAATGTAAGTGTTTTTGTTATAACCCAGTAACTGAGGAATGAAAAACATGCAGTGCCTAAAGGAGCTAACACAGAAGGGTGAAGTAAGTCTTCATAAAACCCACGAGAAGAGACGGTAAAACTTGTCTTTGGATTCCATCCAGAGTTATAGCTGAGAAGGAAAAAGAAAAACAAAATTAAAACAATTTTTTAAACATTTTTAATTTATAGATTTGAGAGAGAGAGGAAGAGAGAAAGAGAGACATCATCTTGTTGTTTGACTTATCTCTGCATTTATTGGTTGCTTCTTGTATGAGGCCTGACCAGGGATTAAAGCTGCAACTTCGGTGTATCACGACACTCTAACCAACTGAGCTACCGGACCACGGCTAAAAGAAAACAATTTTTAGTAAAATTTTCATTCTTAAATAGCCATAATTAGTTATTAATGACCTGTACATGCCTTTTGGGCTTCTCAAACCTTGGAATCAAAATTGGATACTTACTCATTTCTTGTTCCAAATTGCTTTTGCACAGTACTTGCTTTGTATGACAGCAGCTGCCAAAACTTAGCTTCCAAAGATATGAAGATATTAAATGGCATCTATTGTGATCTAATGTTGACACTGTGAACTATCTTAAGCTATAATTCATGTGGTGTTCTGATGTTGAATGTTCTGATGTTGAATGTTGCTGTGTTTCCCTGAAAAATTTGATGTGTCCTGTGGTAACCTTGTAAGTTTGTAGTAGTCCCTAGGTTGCACCGTTTGAGCACCGGCCATAGACTAACTGTACTCAGTTATTGGGTTAGTCAATTTTATGCAAAATCTGTGTCCTAGACGCTCTGCCAGACCTTGAGTGTACAAGGTAAAACAAAAATAACTCATGCCCCTACTCCTATAGAGTTTAGTGAGGAAAACATATTAAATGTAAATTTTTTGTATCTAATTATACATTATGGTAAATGCAGTGAAAGGAAAAAAGACTGCTAGGAAAGAGTAACAAGATACCTGTTTTTGATTAAGAGTGATATTTAAGCTGGAATCTGAAGGATGGGTAAGAGTTTGGTGGGCAAAGGTTTAAAAAAAAAACAAACACCCATATATTAGATAGGGAAGACAAAATGTGTGAAAGCCTCGAACTGGAAGGAGCTGAGCAAGTTATGGTATTGAAAGAAACCCGATATGGCTGGGTTAAATCAAGGAGGAATGGTGCCAGATGAGGTCGTGGAGGCGGCAGGGGCCAGATCGCTTAGCACTTAACAGGCCTTAGTAAGGAGTCTGGGTATTATTCTAAGCACAGTGGGAAGTGTTTAAAAGTCAAGCAGAGAAGTGGCTTGATAACATTTTAAAAGATCTCTCTGGAAGGGAGCAAAGGTAGAAGTGGGATCCCAGTTGCGGTATTCCAGGTGAGAGAATGGTGGCTTGGACTAGAATGATGATGCTGGAAAGAGAGAGAAAAGGATAATTTTAAGGTACATTCTGGAAGAACCTCACTGTGGGATGGATTGGGTGTTTGGAGGGAAGGAGGGAAAGGTGTTAATAATGATAATCTTGGTTTTGGGCTTGCCCCATTTACTGAGTTGTGGAAGCCTGGGACAGAAGCAAATTGGGAGGAAAAGATCAATTTCAATTTTGATGCAAATTTGAGGTGCCTTTTACACATCAGAGTGGAAATGAAGGACAGGCAAATGGACAAACATCTAAAGCTTACAGGAGTATCTGGACTAGAAGAACAGCTTTGGAGTATTGACATTTAGATGGATAGTCCTTCCCTGGTCTGCACACAGCTGATGAATAGTAAATTATATTTTGTAGATTTGTTGCTCTTTAATGGACTTACTCCTTGATATTTTTTTCATGGTTGAAATACTAGAAGCCTCCCAAATGAAAATTTCTAATTTGAAAAGTGAAAAGTCAAACAGTCCGTCCTTAACTTGTTTCACAGCGTTTTATCCTGTCTTTCATAACGTTTTCCCATGCCACTCTACTCCCTTTCTCAGTCCGTGACTCTTCTCCCACCCCCATGTTATCTGACTTTATAATTTTTTCTGAATCCTTCATTTACCTGATGGCAAGCTGCTATTATACACATTATAAATGAGACTAGTGAAAGTTAAGGTGACTGCCCTTCTCTCCTGTGGATTGATTCTGGTAAAGGAAGAAGATACTTTTCACGATGGGATTGGACATCGGTGAATTTTTTCCTTTTCTGACAATTGGAATTTCCCTTTCATCTTCTTTCCTTTGCGCTCTCTGGATCTCATTCGAAAAAGAAGCATAGGACTTAAGCCTTGAGCAACTATGGGGCTTGCCTAACCCTTTATGAACCTTTTCTCTGTAATAGAGTAAGGTATTATCCTCAACTGTGCAGCAGCTGTCAGGGATCTGAAGAATATTTTCCAAGAGACTATAAAAATGAGTAACCTTATCTAAGAGAATATCATGTAGGATCTACATTCTTTATGGATTAACTGGCAGTTGAAACAGCTATGGGATTCTTTTAGAACAAGAGTTTCTTCTTACACTTGGATCTTATTTTAGTTTTCTCCCCAATTAATCTCTTGCAGTGACTTAGAGTCCCGCAGGGATGTGAAGAGAGAAGAAGGCGAGGCCTTTGCTCGTGAGCATGGACTTATATTCATGGAAACTTCAGCCAAAACAGCCTGCAATGTTGAAGAGGTACTGTATGGAAAAAAAGTAGGGAAAGCTTTTCAGAGATTACATCATTTATCTTTGTCCTTTTATTCAGAGATGTCGGTAAAGAAAGGATGTCTTGTGGTCAAAGTGACCATATGTCTGCCTTTAAAGGAATTGCCCCATTTTTTAACCTTGATTTCTAAGATTATACTTTTGCTTTGGGCAACATTAATTGTAAATTTGGATTAGATACCATTGTTACTTGTAAATTACTGTAGTTGAAGAGGCTGATTGGTTCTACTGTAGTCATCCTCAGCCTGGTGTTGACTGTATCTTCAGTAACTGATTAAAAAGAAAGCCCATTTGTTTCATACGTAGAGGGTGCCAACCTAGGAGTACCTTGCGTCAGTACCAAAATGCCATGTAATTCCTTTTTCCTTTTTGAACATACTCTTCATGGCTTTTACAAGGACTTTGAGGGACCTTCTGCATTTTCATTTGGTTCTCCTAATGGTTCCCAAATCATTTTAAAAATTCAAATAAGGATAATATTTGTATTCTCTTTTTTCTAATTTCACTACCTAAACTTGAGCCTTATTTATGTCTCCTTTAGGCCTTCATTAACACAGCCAAAGAAATATATAGGAAGATCCAGCAGGGTTTATTTGATGTCCACAATGAGGTGAGAAAGGGTGGGACTGACAGTTAACTTTGCTTTGTCTTAAAGAGGACAGGAAGCTCCCTAGAATGGAAGCATCCCCTGCCTAACATTATACTAGTTGAAGCCATGACAAGTCATCCCTATGCCAATTGGTTTTTTTATGTAGGTGCCCAGAAACCTGTCACTATGTTCTGTTTTTTCTCAAGTCTGAGGCCTAGGAATGCTTAATGTGATTATTAGGTGGTGATCTAAAAGGCTTATACAATATGGGAGGTTTTTTTCTCAACTTGGGTTCTTTACCATTCCGGACCTTGGAAGAGGTGTAATTCTTAATGCTCAGCAGGGCAAATTCTGGGGCAAAACAAAAAAGAATAATATGCTAATATACAACTTTTATTCTTTTGCCTGCTCCTGCTCTCTCCTAATCACATCCTGATTCTGCACATAGCTGTGAACCTTAATTACAACAGTCATCTTAAAAAAGGGCACAAAGGCCAATTCTAGCCATCTATAATACTTACACCACAGCTGGTCGTCTCATCTGCCCCATCACAGGTGGTTCTACAACCATGTGGTTGGGACACATGGTTGCTTGCCAAGGTCATACCTGCTTCTAGAAAGTGTAATTAATGATTTCTCTTTTTATGTTCCTTCTTTCTCCCATTTACTTTAGCACTTGAGGTGGGAACTCTTGCTTCTTTTCTTTTACAGGCAAATGGCATCAAGATCGGTCCTCAACAGTGTATTTCAACATCAGTTGGACCCAGCACCTCCCAGCGGAACTCTGGTGATACAGAGTCCAACTCTGGCTGCTGCTGAACATCTGACCTGGACTCTTTTTTCCCTTCCTGGAACAGCTTCAGATCAATAGGCTTAAAGAAAGAGGTCTTACTTTGGCTGAGAAAAGCCTATTTTCAAGGTGTGATATTTTGCCTTTCCACTTAAAGACCAGGGGAGAATTTGGGCCCTTACTGAACTGTCCCTTCTTCAGGGACATGAGAATTACCTATAGATTAGGGCTCTTCTTAGCCTCCTGTTTTAATTTCTAAAATGTTAGGATAAAAGTTGACTGTCCTGGCAATTAAAAAATAAATTATTTTAGAAGTATACATAATATGCTCCCCACCAGGAATTAGTAACAAGGGTCTGGCACGTTCGGCTTAAGCACTTGAGGTTACTGGGATCTGGCTAGCTCCTCAGTCTAGGAGCCTTACTGAGTTTTTCCACATGCCACTTTGCAGTTCCTTCTTCTTGAACTGCTCAAGGATGCTGAATACTTTTCTACCATTCTATTACTAGTTTCCCTGTCTTAGAGTAACTACAAAACTTTTGAGAATAGTGGAGTTGCTCCTGGACCTGTGGCCACTTATTATCATCACCTAAAGAAAACATCTTTCCCTCTTTATTTTGTTTTAGGGACCAGACCTAACATTGCAGTGTCTCTCACTGAATAGACCCCTATTGTTTCATCACATTCACTTCTTAACGAGACCTGTTGAGACTTTTTATTCTAATCAAGCTAATCTGCTTACTTACCGGACATCATATTTACTTCCACGTCTATGCCTTTGCACATGTCCTACTCTCTGCTAACATTATACTCCAAGTCCAAAATTTTTTCCTTCAAAAAGTCTTCTTTGACTGACCTAGGGACTTCTAAACAATTATTGATACAGGACCCCTTAGCTTTCATATGTTGTTTATTCAGATGTATATTTATTTGTATTTATGTTGCTTTGTAAATATGTTTTATAGTTGTTTTGTGTGTGGAATTTGTGTCCCCACATAAGTTGTAAGCTCCTTGAGAGCAGGGACCACATTATCCTGATACTTTTGTAAATCACTCCCTCCATCATTCCTTCACAGTGCCTAGTGTTATTTATGTGGTCATTGAATTTAACTGACATACTTAAAGACTTGGAACAAGTCTATTTTAAACTTCAGAGGAAACAAAAGTCATCTATTTCTAACTCTATCTCAGTCTCTTCCATCTGTGTACCCTGGGTTATCCTATATTGCTCTTTTCCCTCTCCTCTCTTTTCCTCCCCTAGCTCTATGCTTCCATTCCATGAAGTGTACAGTAAGGCTGTCTGCTTCTAAGCAGTCTAATAAGTGGGTATTTCTCCAGCCATCCTCATTTTCATGAGCATATATAATACTATCCTAGCCAAATTTGCCTTTGCTTCCCTCATCATTTGGTCTTCTGGGTCAGTTGCTGTATCTTTTTGCTGTGATGTCCCATACTACTACACAGTACTGAGGTCTCATGAATTTTTCTAAATTTTTTTGTTGTTGGTGGTGAATTGTTTCATTATTAAATATATGCATGTATCCAAGCTGCTCACATTTCATGTGTCATTTCTGATTGTATCCCAAACATAAGTAGATACTCTCCTTCTAGGGAACTATATCCAAGGTATGAGAAGAAGTACTCCTTGAGATACATTCATTCTGTACTGGATTCTGCCCCCAGTAGTAGTAGTAATAGTTAACACTGCACCACAGGAAGCTGGAAGACATTTTGAGTATTGCTTTGATTATGCTTTGATTATATTTTTTAAAATCCTACTTTATTTCAAAAAAGACTTATTTGAGGCTGTTGAATTTGGGGCTAGCATGCACCCTCATATCAGGGACAAAACTAAAGTATATATAACCCTATAGTTTCTGTACTGTATAGTTTTTCTTTACCAGCCAAAAAAAGTCTCGAGTGATTATAGATGTCAGAGCACTGGTCAAAGAGCTGCTGCTTTCAGAGCCATTAAAGTATATCATTTTGATATTTTGGAGCCTATCTTTTCAATCCAAAATCCTACATCCAGTTCTATTATCCAAACTATTGATAACCTTCAATACTTGGCTATTTAACCAATTGTAAGATCAGCATGAGAAACAAGTTTCTGGACAAATTCATGATCTGAGTTGATTATTGCTGATGTTCTGAGTAAAATGCTCATAAATTATCATAGAAAATGGATCTCCCACCCCGATGAAGAATAGTAGATAATACGGGTGTTGGTTACTTTTTCAAGGCCATGACCATTGCAAACCATATTATTTAAAGCAGTCTAAATCATACTATTACAGACCATTGCAGAAAGCAGAAATTATTAGACCAGATATATCCTTTCTTTCTATAATGCCTATAACTGGTTCCTTTGATAGCAAATTCATTTATTTACTTTTAAAAAATTATTTATATATTTTTAGAGAGAGGGAAAGAGAGGGAGAGAAATTTTGAGCAGTTGGCATCTGACACAACCCCTACCAGCAACCTGTCTGCAACCCACACATGTGCCCTGCAATCAGAATGGAACCAGCTACTGCAACCCACTGAGCCACACCAAGCAGCAGGGCAGCAAGTTTATTTTGTATCAAACAAGCAGAAGTAAAAGAGGTTCTCATTCTAAAAACAATAATTAAGATCATATCTGCATATGCATTTACAGACAAACATCATTCTGGCAAATCCTAATACCTCAAATTTGATACAATGATAGGGGAGCCATTGGCCACAGACTTTGTGCAATATACAAGGAAATGTATGTGGCCAAGTCTTATCACTTCTGTGGTAAAATATTGACTCTATGTGACCATGCAAATATGTTTTTCCTTGAGAAATTCCTTTCATGATCCGGAACTACTCTCACTCCCCAGTTCAAAAAACAGAAACTTCTTGTATCAAGTAGTTGAGACTAGGAAACAGAGGAAACTCCTTCTCATTGAGTTTCATCCATTATAAAATTATTTCTTTTCCAATTTAAATGCAGTTTTTAGAAAATTACTCTGCAGCTTATATTTTTAAGGCTGTTCCATAATTGGCTTCCATCATTTGCTTTATTTGTATTCACGAGTAGTTTGTGTCTATTGAATTTAGGCCTTAAAAAAACATGAAATTCTATCCTGAATGCTGTTTGTTCATTTCATATTGATTCCCAGTCAGTCCTCTGCACTGTCAAAATCAGAACACTGGATTAGAAGAATCTGGAATAGATAAATAACCTATGTTGATCTCTTCTGCTGATATCCTGAGGAGTAATGTAACTATAAAGGATTATTCCAGGAACTGGGAAAACCAACTATCTCTCTAAGAACTCATTTTTGCTTGTTTGATTTGGTGTAAGGTTCACTTTACTCCGATGAGACGTCGTGGTGGTTGCTTCTAACCGCATTCGGTATTATTCCAGAGTTTCTCCCCATTTGCTTTTATAAAGGAGATTATGTTGGAGCTGGACCTAAGCAGTTTCGACAGAAAGCCAAAAAGAGCTCCAATTTCTTTAAGCATTCCCTCCTCCCTGTCCCCAAGGCACCAGCCCAATCCAAGATGGCTTCCCAGAAACAGGTAACTAAATGTTTTAGGTTAGAGCGCCCCCAAGGGCGGGGGTCGAAAGAAATGCCCAGAAGCCTAAACGCCTGTGAACTGAGCCTTCTGAGGCAAGGTACCACCAGCTTTTATTTTCAATCAGGCATATCTGTGGTTGCCTACGTACACTTCTGAGCCTTTTAGGACCTCCCACCCTCGAGAGACTTCCTGGATGGTACTCACACAACCCTGCTGGAAGAGGCCGGGAGTCGGCCCTGCTATTGGTGGGTGGGAGAGTTGGTGGGCGGAGCCGAGAGAGCATGGACTACTAGCAAGCTAGATTGAGGCGAGGGCTGGCCATGCTCCGCCGGAAGGCCCCTTGTTCTCCGAAAGGGTGAGTGGAAACGCTGGCTGGAAAGGAAGCATCGGGAAACGCTGGCTGGAAAGGAAGCATCGGGACTGGTTCAGGTAGGTTCCCGCTCATGCCTGTTCCTCAGTGCTGGTTCGAGGGTGTTTGCATAACGCTAAGGCTCTTAGAATTGGTCTCAATAACTCCTCCTCCTCCGCGATCCACCGTCCCCTACCCGTCCGCCGCTTGTTGAGGGATCAGGTGCGGAGTGATGCTCTGGACTGAACCACTCTCCTTTGTGAGAGGCTGGGGGAGAGGCCGGCCGCTGGCCGCGGGGCCCGAGCCGCGCCAAGCCGCGAAGGGATCTGCCCCGACCGCTGTGGAGTTTTCGGGCTTGTCACCGCATTCTTGGGCGTGGTGTAGGTTTGGGGGCAGCTCCTTGTTCTCCTTGTACCTTCCGAGGAGGGAAAACTCCCCGGCTCCGTTTGGTTACTCCGTACTTTGGACTCAGAAGCGGGAGGTTAGGGTTTTTGTTTTTTCTTTTTTGGCTTGTGTTTTTGTATTTTAATAATAAAGTCGGGTAGGAACGTTTAGGGTAACCGTGTGCAGACCGTGATACATTATTAGGTGTTAATTTCTGTGGGTCTTTGGGAGAGAAGAGCAGGCTTTTGGAGAGTATTTAGAGGTGGGGGGAAAAGAGGAGCTCAAGCCTTGTATCTCCACTGACAGGCTTGCAGAGCTTTCTGGTTTTCAGTTGCATTATTTAATCTCTTCACTGGCAGAAGACCCCTTCCCCCTGCCTCAGAGCGAATGCAGTTCCTTTATTTACCTGTCTCTAGTGTCGCAGGAAATTTCCTTGCCATTGCAGCAGCTGTGCAAATGCAGCAGCTCCTACCTTTTAAGGGGCAGCCTTGAAGTGATTAAAAGTCTTCAAAGAAAATATGTGTAGTGGAGGATATATAGGTTTACAGATGTTTAGCGGAGCACTCTTCAATAACAGCATAGTTGAGCCAAAAGTCATAAATTTAGTATTTGATGTCTTTTTCCTTTAAAGAAAGTCCCGAGCACAAGTCAGAGGAACTGCATAATTGGTGGCTACTGCAACCTACCAGCACACCAGCAGCACAGATTATTTAGTTTTCTTCTGAGTCTTTCAGCTCAGCCAGAGATTCTCTGACTAGGTTATCCTTATTGTCAGCTGAGGACCCATCTGGTGTGGGGCACTTCAGACACTAGGAGTTTGTGATGTGAATAGGTCTTCTTGTTAGTTAGTTAGTTAGTTAGTTAGTTAGATAATGTCTTCTGCTGAAGAATTTCTTTTGTGTTGGTCCCCAAATAGGTTTCAGAACAAATTGTCAACTTCTTAGGGCCAGAACATGAGAAGCTTTTTGTTCCAAGTATTTTGAAATTGCCCCGGCTCATAAAAGAAGAGTTATGATAAGGGAAAAAAACACAACATTTTCATTTAAGAAGACCTGGGTTACAAGAGTGGCATGCCAGTGGGTCTGCAAGACAAGATGAAGGACACTGGCCAAGACAGGGTAGGCGTGTGTGTGTGAAGAGACAGGCTTGGTGGGAGGTTTAAAGCTGAACTAGTAAAGGAGTAATAGACCGGGATAACGGATTTGATGGAGCAACTTGCACAATTCACACTTCCCCTCTGTTTGATCTATCCTGTACATCTGGTCTTTTGATTTTGTCAGTTCTCAAATTGACAAAATTCTTTTAGACATGGGTAGAAAATGATAGAAGTCTTCTGCGCTGGTTGTGAATCACCAGAAAACAAATCTTGTATTTCTTAAGATGGCCTTCTCTGCAGCACTGCCAGGTGTTAGGGTGGAAGTATCTTGGCATTGTATTAACCACTACTGCAGAGTTTTAGTTGTAAAAGGAAATTTTGACGTTTTACATGAAGAGTCGAGTTTCTGATGGGTGAGGTAGGGTGGTGAGGGGGATCAGTGTTTAGAGCACACATTTCCTTTCAGAAGGGTGAGATTTTGCCCTGGCTGGGTAGCTCAGTTTGTTAGAGCATCATCTCCATATGCCAAGGTTGTGGGTTCAGTCCGCTGTCAGGGCACATACAAGAATCAACCAATGAACGCATAAATAAGTGAAACAACAAATCGATGTTTTTCTCTCTCAAATCAACACAGTTTTAAAAGGTGAGATTTTTCTAAGCAAAACTACCACTTAAGATTGATTTCTGGGCGCCAAGAACTGTGCTTGCTTACTGAAAGAATGAGATTTGGTATTCTCATCTGCTGAGAAAGACTGTAACGTTTTCAGAGCATTCAGATAGATGCCAAATTCTTTGAAGATACTGTTTGTCCAAAGCCCTGAAAGAGTTAAGCTATCTTCTCAGCCTACGTTGAGCCTAATACCTCAGGGATAAACTGAAGATAAGTATATTTCTGGGCCTTTCACCCTCGCCTCTAGAAGTCAGTCCTCTTCTGGAGTTGTATTTGAGCAAATCCCTGATCTGCAAATCTTTGCATAAAACTTCCTACCCTTACCCTACTGTGACCAACCTTTAAGGACTGCACTTACTATTTTACCTCTAACATTGGATTCTTTGATAGGCTGTTATTTTGTATCTTACTCAGTTTAACTTTATAGATCTCCTCTTTAATTAATTTTATATTCTTTTCCTCACAGAGTTGGTGGTCTTTCTTTCATCCTCCCGT